TCTCTGTAATCTAGAAGTTGCGGTTGGTGGTCTTGCATGCTCAACAATACCTGTTGTTGTTGAATGCACACACTCTTATCAAAATAAACATGTACGCCAATGGCTCAAAACATAATCAGTTGCTACTGGGGCCACAAACAAAACAGTGGCAACTGACACAAATCGGCGGTGGCTCCCAGGTCTAATTACTACCATTAGTATAAAAAGAAAGTAGGGTTAAATGTCATTGACAATAGACAGCAAGAAAAAAAAGATTGGGTAAATACTTTATTTCCTGTTTATTTATATATTATGATAAAAGTAACTAAAATGTAAAAATAGGGATCTCTTTAGGTTAAGTAAAATAAACAATAATAATAATATAATAAAAATTATTTCATGAGGCATGCACATGAGCAGCTCGAAGTAGATCTACAAAGGATCTAGCCTTTTGAATGAGGCATAAAATGAACTTGAGTGATTTAGTTCCTGTGCAGTGAGTGTTTCAGTAGTTTGTGTTATACATTTTTGATCAGATAGTGAAGAAGTCTATTCTTGTGTATAATAATAATAACATATCCCATAAAATGCATCATGTTACTCAAAATTAATCTTTTTATATTTAAAAAAAAGAGAGTATTAGTTGAGAAAACAATGAAATGGAGTTAAACATAATTATGAGCATTTTTCATATTTCCTGTGTTTGTCAAATTTAGTATTTTAATGACAATCGTTTTTTTGCTCTTAACATTTTAGTTAGAAAATAATGTTTAACTGACCTCATACTCCCTGCAGGTCATGAATTTAAAGACAACATGCTTTAGATACTTGAAGTTGACATCATCATCATTATTCAGATCCAAATGATTTTGTTGGTGGCCACAATCTTGAAATCCACGTACATTTATGTGGGAGGATGAGGATGAGCCAATTTCCATGGTGTCAGATGTCTGGAAACCATCAATGTTTCTTTGAACCCGAAGCTCTTTCTGCAGAGTTTTCTTCATGTCCGTGAGCCTCTGCTGCTGTAACTTAATGGTCTACAAATTTGAGAAAATGTATATAATAGTTGATGATAAATAATCTATTACTTTCTAATATGGTGAATTAAAACTTTTTAATTAATAAAAACAAAAACTTGATGAATTTAAAAATGGGGATATTTTCTCTCCCGAGAAAATTCTCCATGAATAAACCAATAACTGTCTAAATTCCTCAACCTGTTAACAAACTAAATAAATAAAATTTTTATACAATTTTTCCACGATTAATCAATGCATTATTTATTACTATGTAAAGTATTTTGACTTCCAGTATCTTTCAAAATGACAATTTACCTTCACAACTTCATTAGTTCTAATTCACACAATACAATGATCACTTATTTCTTCTAACAAAAACTGCAAAGATATTTTTCTTATTATCAAACATGAAATATCAGGCAAGAGCATGATTTGTTGATTAGTAATTTGTGTGATATCATATTATAATTTATCATTTGTTTATTTCTTGAGTTCATTTTTTCATATTTCTAGACCATACAGTTGCAGCAGCAGATGTAACAAAAATTAATTATTAGTCTTATTGTGATGTAATATTACACAAACTACCAATCAACAGATCACGTTTTGCCAGCCTAGATGATATGCACTACTTGTCTAGTAAATGACTAATAAAAACATTTCATCTGAGGCTTTCTGTAAACTCAGTGGACATCATGAACTCTGGTGGTGAGCAATGAGCATGACATTCTATTATATACTTTTCTTGTTATATAATATCAAGGACTGGTCAACAGTTCATGGCTACTTAGCTTAAGCAGCTTAACTTGTATATTTCCAGGTGAGTTCATCTGCAGTGTTTACTTTATGGTAATTTTAAATTTATAAAATCTCACTTCCCTATTTTATGGAATATATTACTTGGGTATATAAAGCAACAGATTAACTTAAAACAAAAATATTCACCTTGTTTTTCTCAATTAGTTGCACTTCCAGGTCTTCTACAACTGATTTTAGTTCTGAAACTCTGGTTGAATTCTCCACATTCTCTGTGACTTGCTTTTCTAACTCAGTGATCTAATAATTAATAGTAAATACAATAATTCTAGAAAACAATTATAGTAAAAATAAAACTTATTATGTTTTCCTTAATCCCTATTTATGGATTTTTAAAATAGGGCTAAATTTAGTAATAAAGTATAACTGTTCAAAATGCCATTAGTTTACATCTATATAAACAATGGTATGATGTAAAGATAACGTGAGGATTCTAGTGGGTCATTAGTATATATTTATAATTATCAGTGCATATGAGGTCCAGGTGGTTTAAATAAAGACGAATTAATGGAAATAAAAATATGTTTACAAAGCATTCTCTGATAATTATCATAAAGATAAATGGGACATATTCTTGTAATATCTGTAAATCATGGTAAGTGCCAAGTATAGTATAGCAATAAGGTACATTTTTGAAAGAGTATCTTCATAGTTCTAAAGTTACTATTTAATAAAATGTTTCTTTATTCTATTAAAAAAACTATAAAAAAGTTAAATATACACCACAGTGAAACTAGATTTAAAACAATTTCATACTGATGACATTTTGTAGTTCTATATACTTATGTCTAAAAAAACATATATGGCACAGTTATTCCTCTTGTATACAATATTTTCAACAGTTACACTGAACAGATTCTGTAACAAAGATATATGACACACCCCATCTAGAAACAAAAAAAAAAAACTAGCAAGGAACTGAATACAGACTTAAGAAATTAACTGTTAAGGTGAGAAACAATTAAACTTTGAACACAGCCTTACAAAATAAAGGAAACAGATTGTTCAACATTTGAGAAACAGCAGTTAAACACTGAATACAGCCTTGCAACACAGTATTACAGATTATCTACAAAACCTGCTGCTTAGCAACAATTCAGCACTAGTACAACCTTAGATGATCTATGAAACTTGTTGCTCAGCAACAATTCAGGACTAGTACAACCTTAGATGATGTACGAAACTTGTTTCTCAGCAACAATTCAGGACTAGTACAACCTTAGATGATGTACGAAACTTGTTTCTCAGCAACAATTCAGGACTAGTACAACCTTAGATGATGTATGAAACTTGTTGCTCAGCATCAAGTGAAAACTAGAATACAGTATTGTATGGTACTGATTCTGCATGAATTAGTACAAATATCCAAACATAGTATAGTATTTTGAGCAAGCTGAAACAATAACACAAATGCTAATCACAATTACTAAGTAAGAATAAGTGCCTAGAAGAAGAAGAATGCACAGGATACTTAAAGAAAGTCACTACTAACAGTTATTAACAATTATGAAACATTATTGAATATTTTAGATTATCAACATAGTAAAAACATCACCATTCCTGTCAATAAAGCTACTAACATAGCAAAGAAAGAATTTCTGTATTTATCATCAGCAATTACACTAATTACAAAGACAAAATTAAAGATTTTAATGAAAAATAATCAAAACTTTTGATATGAGTAACCTCTGTGCTATTCTTCCTATTGATAAAATTAGAAAATACTTCCCTCAGCATTATCCAGATCTTTTAAAAATTACAGTAAATCATTGCTTTGAGTTAGCAAACATAAATGTTTCGATGGTAAAACAGTCATAAAATATGTAAAACAATCATAAAAATTATATCACTGTTTCACGCACAACAAATTCTTACAAACTGTCATTTTTTTTTACTTCACAACACTTGTACAATTTAGATATAATGTATTTCAACAAATAAAAAAATTACCTACAGCAGGTAGTTTTAGCCCACAGACTATTGATTTGTATTTGTTTGGACTTCAATGAAAACAAACATTACTAAGGAACAGTTTAGCAAAACTTTACACATTAGGCATATATATCTGTTTCAAGTATTTTTCATTTTTGCTTTAATGTTTCCTATGAAAATAATTGTCATAACCAGATGGCTTCATTTTTCATGAATATTTGAAAGACTGAATGTAAAATCTAAATAAAGCCTATTACTATATAATAAAAATTCATCACTTAAACAAAGATGATGAAACAAACTGACTGAATATCCAAACAAGTCACACCTTTTCTTTTGTTGCCTGTAGTTCAACCCGAAGTTCTCCTATTGTTTTATCTCCTTCTTCTTTCGCTTTTTCTCTGAGCATTTTTTCTTCTCCGAGTTCTTGTCGTAGAAGTTCTAGCTGATTTGAATATTCTGTGCTCCTCATCATCAAATTATCTTTCTCTTAAAAATAGTTCAAGGTTAGTTTATAAAATTATTATTATTGTCATTATTAGAGAATTATATCTTCACTAAACTGATCAAACCATTTTTGTGTAGTTTTTAAAGTTTCAAGGATCTGTTTCCATGTATGGTAATTACATTCAAACATTTTTTTTTTATTATCTTCCAACTATACTCAAGAAAAAGAAACATGACATCCAAGGAAAAACAATAATACTAATCAGCTGACTATATATGAAATGTCATAATTAACTGTTGTTTTTGTTCTCTGAAGTAGGACATACAAAAAATATTCAAATACAGAACATAGTATACATCAGATAATAATTCCAATCTTTAATCTTCTGTATTACTTACTGTTAAAAACAAATTGTTTATACAAATCAAAACAGGTTTTCCCCAATATTCCTATCATACATGCAAATAAAAGCAAAACTGTCACAGAATCCATAGAGATTATACTAAAGAAAATTAATTGTTTTTTTTTAACCCACTCAAATTTTCAGGACTCTGGAATCTTGAAGTGCACAGTTAAACTTGCATTTTTCTGCCATTTTTATTCATCAAACATGCCCACAAGTGGAAACTGCAACAGTTGTGAATCTCACAAGTCATGAAGTTCACAAAGGCTAGCATGGAATATAAACAAAAGAAATTCTTAAAACAAACTTTTTTGTTTGTTTGATTTTTTAAATTATGCCAATTAATTCATAGGGGATTTCCTTTATTATATTTGAAATTTCTGGATTTTTCCAGGACCATAACTTTTTCCAGATTTCCAGTACTGAAATTTTTAGACCTCATTTTCCATGATTTTTCAGGATTTAAAGGACATGTGCAGACCCTGATAACAACAGCAATCCTATTTAGTAGTATGAAACCAATCTGTTAATCAAATCAATTTTGACATATTACCACCAACCTTGTGTTGTACTGCGTAATTCAACTTCTCGCTCTTTAAGAACCTGCTGGAGGTCTTCGAGGGAAGATAAATGAGATGTTATTTTTTCTTCTAACTCCTGAACCTACAGTTACAATACGTGTAAGATGTACAAAAAACAAAAATTACATGAAGAAAGGAATCAAGTTACAAGTCAATTTGAAACCCTATAAATAACTAACACAACTTTTTGTCTGACATTGAGCAGAAACACTTTGTTAAATCCCTTCAGTATGTTACAATTTCCAAATTATTCCTGAAAAATGAAGATTACCAAATTTCCTGTTTTACAAGTTAATTTAAGTATCTGGTAATATACATTACTAACTTATTTTGATAGTGAAGAACATTAGCAATGTTTAGTCATACTTTATATACCTGAAATACTATTAGCAAAACATATTACAAAGAAAGTTTGCAAAATACTTAGTTATTTCAACTATTCATGTAACATCTATTTTTAATTTACTGAAAAACAATCATCATTCGGCAAAGGTTTAGAGATCAAACTACTTGCAGTAAATATTAGATAGAAAAATATAATCAAGTACATTAAGGCAAATTAAACAACAATGGTTGATCAATTATATTAATATTCAGTTTTTATACAAATGGAAGTTAACATTTTACTAAACTGAAAATGTATTTCTGGTAGATACTTCCCTCCTCACACAAAAAGCTTTCTTGACTTATACTACCCTCTATCAGTGCAAATTTTCGTTTACCACTAGTCTTGATACTTCCACTTATTTTGGCATACTAACAAGGCTCCATTTGCCTATCAAAATCCACTGATAATGATGCATGAGGGCATGACCAATGAGGGCTTTGATAGAATCCCATGTCCCCAAAAGAGAGAGAGAACCTCTGCCACATTAGGAGCAGGAGAGGATGAGATGCTGCATACAAGACATTCCATAGCTCATAAGTGAAGTGGAACAGGTTGGGCCTGACAGAGGAGGGAGTTGCAAAACACCCCGAGATGAACCAGAAATTTGTGTGGATGTAAGGAAAAACTGCTTCACTTTGACAAGCTAATCCACCATGACAATGTCCTGGAGATGAAATTGAGTATGTAGGACTGAGTCATCTTGTGAAGAGGCAAGAAGCAGCCATACATCCATAGAACAGTGGAAACAAAGGCCCCTGGAATGAATCAGGTGGGCAAAAAACTGGATCCCAAGGAGAATGGAAGGAAATGGGATTGTGAGACAACAGGGGAGATGAATGGAAGTAGAAAACCAGACTTACTGAAACGACTGTCAGAACTTATGGACAATCACCAAGGATCCTCCAAACGTGGGCAAATGTAAGTACTCTGGTTCCCACCAGCCCTGACCCGAGAAGGGTAGTAAGAAAAAGACAAATATGGAAAAAGGTAATTAATTATTGGGGTCCAATCCCCACTAGGGGAGAAGTTACACCAAATGCTGTGAGTCTAATTAAGGGAAGTTGAAATGATGATAATCAAAAGTATGATCGTCCACAGTACGACACGCGACTGAAAGGTATATTCAGGAGGAGGAGGGGGGGAGGCTGTTCAAATCCAAAACTTAAAGAATCACTGAAAACTGTGAAAGGACAATCTTCAGTTTGTTCTGAGTGTTGCATGAAATTGGTCAACTCCCAATGGACCACAGCCATCACTTCATGGGCCAAGAATCATGGTTCTGATCCAATGGACATGGTCGGTGACTTCCCTCTCATAGTTGTGACCATCTGAAACTGCGAGTGCATAACTCATGAAAGTGAAAGAGGAGATAAGATAAATAAAATTATTCAGAACTCTCCACAAAAGAATGAAAATGGTAAAGAACAATGTAGTTAAAGTAAAAAAATTAAGAAAGTAAAAACTTGTTGATAAGTGAATCAAACCGTGAACAAAAACAAATCTATTCAATAAGACTGCCAATCAAGAAACTGTTAACAGCTGCAAGATTAGAGAGGGCGCTAGTTACAATAAGGGTGATGTTGCACTCTTATTGGTGGAGGATTGCTGCACAGTCATTTGCATGTTAGTAAACAGAAATAAGTGGGATTATCAAGTCTAGTGGCAAGTTAAATTTCATGCCTATAGAGGGCAGTACAAGTAGAGAAACCTTTTTGTGAAAGGAGGTAAGATATCGTATTAAAAAGAACATTTCCTTTAAGTTATTTTACTGCAAGACTAATGGGTCCTTTTAATTAATAGCAATTTTCTCAAATTATATACCCTTCTACTGATCTTATAAAAATTCTAGGACATTTGTTTTTAAGTCTTGGTTGATATTTTTAAAATAGAATATCCTTACTGTGGCTGTCATTGTATTATACTCTTCTCTGTGTGATTGTACATTTTGACATAGGGTTATACACTCTTTTTCCTTCTTCCCTAATTCTCCCTAAGATATGATATTGCAGAGACACAAGCAAGCAAACAAACAAAAAAAAAATCCATCAGGTACTACTTCCATACTTAACATTTAAAATATTTTCATAGTAACAAATACACTCAACATTACAGCATAATTGTAATTTTTCACATACAATTATGGGTATATGTATGTATTCAATTTCACTACCTCCTTAACTGAAAATAGCTCTTTTAATGTTTTAGTGTTTTTATAAATACAGAATTTTAGATTGTAAAAATTAACAAGATAAAATAAAATTTAAATGATGAATATAAATAAATAAATTACCATCTTAGAAAAGTGTATTTGAAATTAGAAACAATTCAATAACCACCATAAACTGAACTAAATTGTTAATATTTTACATACAACTTTCACAAAAGAACTATAAGAAAATATAATGATACTTGCAAAAGTCACTCTGCAAATGTTTACTTAAAATATTAAACAATTAATGCTTCAGTGAATAAAAATATGGCCTTTTTTTTTATAACTAATTTAGTTCAGATATTCATTAAAATTTAAGCAATCATAACTACTTCAAAGTCGTTATTTCACATGTTTCATAGATATAACCATGATAGGCTAGAGTTTCGGGTATTTCATATACGTTGAAATCAAAGTTATATCACTGAGCTTGTTATAATACCAACCATAGAAGCTACAACCACGTGTCCTAGTAATCCCTAATTTTGAAATGACAACAGCACCTACTGCCACCTCTGGTTAATCTAATCAAAAATTGGGATTTAACCATTACTCTTATAGTACACCCACAGATCCAGAGTATGAAGCAGTTATTTTTTTTTTTACAGCAACTGGTCTTGAGCCATGGATTTATAACCTGGCATGCCAACTACTTGGCCATATCCAACTCCATTTTTTTTCATGAATGTCTTACATGAGACAGTTATTAAAATCATATAAAGGAAATTTCAAGCAATATCTTTAAACTTGAATTTTTTTAACCTAAGGAATAAACTTCACTGATAAATAAAATGTTTGTTTATATTGAACAGTGTTGCTTCTAGACTTTTTTTCAAGTGAGCCAAATCCCCACTGACTTCCAGAAAGTTGGCCATTCATGTAATGAAGTGTCAACTTCACAAGTCATAAATGTATAACATGATCAAGTAACTTATATTTGAAGAAACTTTAAATTGAATTATTGCAATTTGTTTCATTTGTGTGTGTACTGAAAACATCTACACATTCACTGACTAAACTTACATTGAAGTCGTCTTCTCTATGCCTTTTTCCTTTATTTATTTTTATTTTTGCATCGTTTTAATGGAAAAATGTAGTAATTTTTTAAAAAATTAACTGCTTCTTGAACGTCTTTGTACCTTTCATTTCTTCACCATTTTCAATCCTCGATATCCCATAATATCAAGGGAATCTCCTGTAAAACCAAACGACATCATAATGCAGCCAATCACATTTTTTTGCATATCCAAATAAGCTAATTACTTTTTGGAAATTTCTGGTTACGATCGCGATCTATCATTACAAAATCATTCATAATACATTTCAAGGGGCAGGCACACAAGAAGTTAAAATGCATACTTCTGTTTTTTTTTTTTGTGTGTGTGAACTAGTATGCAGACAAATGATTATTGTGTGCCAATGGCAATCAAGATAGCATAAATATGCAAAGTATGCATCCTAGAAGCAACACTGTAATGAATAACAAGTTTCATACCAAGACTAGCTGAGATCTATACAAGCTAGGTCAATGATAGAGAATGTTATTCAAATGAGATTTGTATGCCTTTATGAAGACAGCTTGGAATAGAAGTTGTTTATATACACACATTTTTACAGTTTTTTTATAGCAAAAGAACCTTTAAGGCTATCTTAACATCAATGTCAGACTTTGTAACGTGCATACGTATATACAAAGGAAAACAATTCAGTGTTAGCCATTTGATTTCAACAAGTACTCTTAAGTATAAAGATACAATCATATTTCAGTAAAACAACTTTGCACATTACCCTACATGCAGTACCATGAAACAAAACAAAAAATAATCAGTTATTAAAGTGGTATGATTCTTATAGTTTTAACTGTAAGAACTCTAGTCATGTTTGAGACAAAATATAAATTACAACACGGATCAACCATTTCTGCATAAGTGAAGTGTTAAAGTACATCTTTTTCAAAATTAACTTTTTTGAAACTGGGATAAAGTTAATATAGACAGTATTTTCACCCATCATTTCACACTGTAACTTTATTGTGAAAACCTAGATCTTCATAATAAGTTCCTGTTTGATGTTAAATTTTGATTCCTTATAGCAGAAAAATAACTTGAAAAAGTCTGAACAAAATCTTCAAGTCCTTAATAAAAAAACAATATTAAAAAATGACATTATAACAATGACAGAAATTTAGAATCTTGCAATAAAACACTACATAAAATAGACTGTATCATATTCTGTGCATTTTTACCAAAGTCTGTATCTTCAAATTCAGGTATTGAGTAAAATAATCTAAATGAATTGATAACTTATACACAATAAAAATTAATATATTTATGTCAGATCTTTGCATTTTCTTATTGAGACATGATTCTGAGTCTTTCAAGTTGAGACACTGCCATCAAATTTATAATTTTAAACAGCTAGAATATGTTTGTAGTTAAGCACAAAGCTACACAAAGGGCAGTTTGTGTTGCACCCATCAACCTTTTGCTGTACCACTGAGGAAAAAGAAGAAATTTTTTTGCTTCCAATATAAATGAAAACCTGAAGGTATATATCTTAAAATTTATAACACTGTTATGTAAAGATATATTATTTAAAAATTTTGTGCTTTTAGAATATAATTACAACCTTCAATTCCCTACCTTCAACTTTGTGTTTTCATCCTCTAAAAAAGTCATTTGTCTCTCCACTTCTATTTCTTTTTCTACATATTCTGTCTGAGCTGCCACTAGTTCATTCTCACCATCAAAGAAAAAAAGTACATTACCCCAAAAAAGAATGAATGAATATAAAACCCTTAACAAAAAAAACAACACTTTGACCAAATCACTTAATATACTTTAAAACCACATAAAATTCCTTGAAGAGCATTGTGCATAAATCCTATTCATTTCCAAATACAGCTTGAAAGTGAATACAGAAATTAGTGTCAATAAAAATAACCATATACCAGTTCCTATAGTGTATTCACAAGCTTTGGACTTGTAATCAGATGGTTGTGAGTTTGAAGCTGGCCCATGTCGTGCTGTTGTGTCTTTGAACAAGACACTTTACCTCCTTTATTACAGTCTACCCAACTGTATAATGGGTACCTAGTTCTTAGCTGGGGGTTTACTTGCAAAGGATTTTCATCCCATCCATGGTGAATGGGTGACCATTCTCATCTGCCTGCGACACTGGAGTTCGAAATCATCAACTTTATATGCCTTATAAAGGCACTGCAAATATTTAACTTTAAACTTTTAACAGAAAATTCATAGTTGATCTCAAATTATTATTAGCAAGAAACTTAAGTTAATATTACATTGTGAAAGTGAGATATTTTTTGCATTATGTATTAAAATAGTTACTTGTATAAAAAAACTTAATCAAGAAATATGACATTAATAAAGAAAATTATCAATTATGAATCCTTTCCAATCATCAGCTGAAACAACATGGTAGCAATGATGTTACTACCAAACACATAGTTTAATCCTAAAAGTACCAATGAGGCCCATGTAATCTACATTTTTCTGAACTATTTATAAACCAAACTGCTTAAAAATCCATGACTTTGTTGATTCAGGTACCTAATAACATAAGTCACACAATAAAATAACATCAATCTGTTCCTCTAATTACTACTGAGTTTTCCCTATATAACATTAATATAACAATCTGTTCCTCTAATTACTGCTGAGTTTTCCCTATATAACATCAAAATAACAATTTTTTCCTCTAATTACTGCTGAGTTTTCCCTATATAACATCAATATAACAATTTGTTCCTCTAATTACTGTTGAGTTTTCCCTATATAACATCAATATAACAATTTGTTCCTCTAATTACTGCTGAGTTTTCCCTATATAACATCAATATAACAATTTGTTCCTCTAATTACTGTTGAGTTTTCCCTATATAACATCAATATAACAATTTGTTCCTCTAATTACTGCTGAGTTTTCCCTATATACATCACACAGAAAATAAATGGTTGAACTAAATTTTTTGGTCAGTTCATTATGCTGCATATATTGATTGGCAAATACTTGAAATCACTCATTATCTCTGCAGTAGACAAACTTCCCCCATGTTTTTTTTTGTTCTTCTTTTGTATCTGGTTTATTTTATTAGCCAAGAGACTCTAATACTGGAAGTCACAATATACAAAAAATTATCAGAATTTTGTTCAATCCTTATTAATCATAAGAAGCAATAATTTGTATAGATGGACAGCTTAGTAGAGTTGACTAATGAAGCCCTTAAATATACAAAACACTTCCTACTGAAAACAAAAATATGAAAAACCTAACTAGATTTCATAATTCACTGGGAAAACATTACAGATCTATCCTAGTAAGCTTTTCACATAAATTTGTTTTTCTAAATCTGGCTGATGGTAAAACCTATGCTACATAATTAAATATGAATGATACACATCTTCACATTATTAGCATGTGAAATTAATCAATTTACTTGCCATTATAAATTTCTGATTGAATACAAACAAACAACTGCTCATAAAGTTATAAAATATACTTTTGAAAAGTATGTAACATTTTGTTTTATAAAAAACTAACTCTATAGATATTAGCCTTAGATAAAATAATTTGCTATTATTCTAAAATGACTGAATATTTTTTCTTTCTGTTTATCAGTGCTCAAAATGAGCAATTGATATAATGATTATTTTAATCCTTGAAATAAACTACAATGCTGAAAGCTTGCATAGTTCAAGGTTTTAGTGACATTTTTTGTCATCCAACATCTAACATTTTGGTGCTGTTCATCTGTGTTTACTAGGCACTTATTTCTGTATTAATGTGACATTAATGGCCACCCTAGGAAATAACAGTATAAATCCAAAATAGAAGTGCTTGCGACATCAATTGATAAAATTAGATTGGTGTGATTTTCAGTTCAACAGTAACCCCAAATTACAGATGTAACTGTAAGTAAGTGCTGTATAAATCATTTGTAAATTTGTATTTACCTCACTAAATCTTTTAACTTCATTGAAGAAAAGAAAGAATTTGTGAATTATATAGAGGCCTAATCTACTATTTGATATATTACTCTCTCTGCAGTACACTATAGTAGTTTTGCTGAAACATGGTTCTTCAGTACTGCTTGGGAGAGCAAACCAAAGATAGAAAGTAGGAGTAGGACTTAATATAGTACTGGAATGCAAACAATTTGTAGGACTTGATGTAAGAAACAAATCATACAAACAGCTGTATAACTCATCAATCAGTTTATGGTAAGAATGATTTTCCATATTTGTGTTTATTAATGATACAGATTTTTGTTTCTTTCAAATGGGCAATTACAAAAACTTACATGAACAATTTATGTAGCAGGAAATAGTGTGCACATTTGGTACCAACATTTGTTTATTTCTAATGCATTTTTTATGCCCAAATATGCATAAAATAAACAAAATTACGACACTTATGATATACAACATTGTTTATTGACAAAAAAAAAGGGGACATGGATAAATGTTTTGGAATTCTATCAGATTCCATCTTCAATATCTAAAGCAGAATAAAATGAATTTACATAAGTCTTTATAGATTCCACTTTGAACGTAAACTATGTCAACTAACAGATAATCTCTTCATGGCAAGCTTTGATGTTACCTCCCTCTTTACAAATTTTCCCTTAAATGAAACTATTAACATATGCATATCTGAGCTTTCGCGTAATAACATTCCTCTAAATGGCTTTTCTGAAAATCAAATTAAGACCATGCTGGACCTTACCACTAAGAATTCACATTCCCTGTTCAACAACACCTTGTATGAACAAATAGATGGAGTTGCGATGGGCTCCCCACTAGGTCCAGCTTTAGCTAATGCATTTCTCTTTCATTACGAACAGAAATGGCTTGACACCTGTCCAGTTAACTTTAGGCCTGTTCTGTACAGAAAGTATGTGGATGACACTTTTATTCTTTTTAATAACAGTGATCAATGCTCAAAATTTTTAGAATACCTTAACTCACAACATCCTGCCATTAAATTTACATGTGACGTTGAAAATAATAATAATTTACCTTTTTTAAACATGCTCATTAACCGTAATGCTAATGGATTTTCCACATCAATTTACCGAAAAAAGACGTCCACTGGTCTCCTTACACACTTTGATAGCTTTATCCCATTTACGTATAAACGAAACCTTGTTACATGCTTACTAAACAGAGCTTACAACCTGTACTCCACATATCTTAATCTACACTCTGAAGTTTCGTTCTTACATGACATCCTGAAACGTAACTGCTATCCAAAACACTTATTAGAAAACATTACCAACACCTTCCTAATAAAGAAACTCACAAATCCAATTAAGATACCAACTATACCTAAACTTACTATATACTCGTGTCTTCCCTATACTGGCAAACAAAGCTTAAATTTAAAAAATCAACTTCAACGCATACTTGGTCATCACTACCCTCAAGTGGATTTAAGATTAGTATTTAAATTCACATCACGCATAAAAATTTTTTTCCCTGCTAAAGATCTCCTCCCATTCCTTATTGTTCTTGGCTTGTCTATCTTTACAAGTGTGGAGACTGTAAGGCCTCCTATATTGGCAAAACCAAATGCCATTTAAAAGTCAGAGCCTATGAACATATGGGAATTTCCATCAAAACACACACAAAAATTGAATAACCCCTGTGTTTCCTCTGTACGCCAACATAGTGAAGAAACAGGACACCAACCTATACTATCCTCTGAAAGTCTAATACTGACCTGGAATTATTGATCAAAGAAACCCTCCACATCAAACAGCACTCTCCAACACTGAACAACATGCAGTCTTCATTTAAATTATACATTTTTTAATATGTTCGTATTACTGATTTTACCCTTTTTTTTTCTTTGTGTTTTCTTGCTGTGGTTTCTCCCCATGATTACTGTTAAGTGTTTTATTTGTTTGATTATCGTTATATTTAGCAACTGTACTTTGACAATGTATAAATACTTATGTTAATTCATAATATTGTTATGGTATTCAATATCTATATATGTTTATTGTGGACCTCAGCCAGGATATGG